CTCCACTTGAGGTCCGTGAACCAGGGGCATTTTCCGGGCACAGCCCCGCAGGTGGTCCCGGGCAGGCCGCTGGCCGACCACCAGCGAGTGGGCTGCTGCATGCATCGATCTCTCATCGATGAAGGCGTGTGGGGAAGACCCCGACGGCACCACAGAGGCCAGGAGCGGAGAGTGGTCACCGAGGCAACAGCGGGAATCTGTAGCTGACCCACCGAGACCCTGTGTGTGTGTGTTACTGTTGTTTGCTCTCTGCAGCCTCTGGGTGCAGAAAGCAGGCTGCACGGGGCCCACGGAGCCGGAGTCTGGCCCAGAGGAATGAGTGCATCCAGTCTGGTTGAGTCAGCAAGAGAGATGGGGGAGCACTCCCCCTTACTGGGAGCAGGGACACCAGGTGGGCAAGGAGGCTGGTGACGGGGGCGGCTCGGTCCGGCTGAGCCACCCAGGCCGTCAGCCAGCGCGGTGTTGTCACCGGGCATCCTCGTCACCGGCTGGTCGACCCGGCCAGCTCATCGTCAGGCGCAGAGTCCAGGCCCTGGCAGTTTTCACGTAATCCATTAGAAATGGCTGCTTGAAACTCACACTGGTTTAAACAATGAGAATGTTTTGTTCCATGTAACTGAGACGCAGCGCTGGCTTCAAGGGAGGCCTAATCCAATTACTCAAGTGATGTGACCAAAGGCCATGGGCTCACGTCCATTCTGAGGCTGTTTCCTTATCGTTGGTTCCGTTCTCAGTGAGTTCTCTACCTCGTGGTTGCGGGACCACCGCGAGCAGCTCCTGGCCTGCGTTTCCAGGCCCAAACCACCGAAGAGGAAGCACCTGTCCCAGCAGCTGCTGCATCACGGTCCGCCCTCCATCCTGGCCGGACCTTGAACAGTGGGCAGGGCCAGGCTGCCTGAACGGGGTGAAGGAAGCTGGCCCCTCCCAAGTCCTGAGGCCCGAAGACAGGGCCGAACATGGGAGAAACATCCAGCTGCTTCCACTGCTGGGCCTCAGCCCCCAAGTCCCTCCCATCCTTACCTATTGTCTCGGCAGCGGAGGAGGGCCCGGCTTGCCAGGGAGCCAGAGGGCCAGGGGCCAGCAGAGCAGGCATGGAAAAGCCTGTGATGTGGCAACAAAAGTCATTGAAATCGATGAGGTATCATGGACAGATTTTCTCAAAGTTGGGGGCGGGGAAAGCATTGGCATAATGCAGGGTAAAATAGTATCTTTATTCCAAAATCTCAGACTTATTGCTGCCAAAGTGAAAGTGAAAGTCACTCAGTCATGTCCAACTCTTTGTGACCCCATGTTCTATACAGTCCATGGAATTCTCCAGGCCAGAAGACTGGAGTGGGTAGCCTTTCCCTTCTCCAGGGGACCTTCCCAACCCAGGGATCAAACCCAGGTCTCTGGCATTGCAGGTGGATTCTTTACCAGCTTAGCCACAAGGGAAGCCCAAGAATCCTGGAGTGGGTAGCCTATCCCTCCTCCAGGGGATCTTCCCGACCCAGGAATCAAATTGCAGGTGGATTCTTTACCAGCTGAGCTCTCAGGGAACCCGAGGTCAGTGTTCAGTGCGTGTGCAAGATACCGGGTGGGGAGGGAACTGCCTGGAGGTCTCAGTCACCACTTGAGCTGCCCGGAGATGCTCCTGAGAGAAGCCACCAACAGTCGCAAATAAAGCAAGCACACACCTCAGAATTCCATCCAAGGAAGAAAAGACCCTTGCTGTTTGTCTTCACATACAGATTAGATAGCTAAAATTTTCACCATAGCAGGTTTGACCTTCAGGACCAGTGAACAGGCAGGACCATGTGAGTCACTGTTCGTCATATTATCTGCACACAGTGTTTAGGGCCTTTATTTCTAACTTTAGAGAGTGATGTTTCTCCATCACTGAAGTCAAGAAAAAACCTGTGCCATGGAGGATGGAGGGTTAGGGGGTAACGCTGCTACCCCCGGCGCCGGTAGAGGGCTTTCTTCTTCGTCTTGTTGACTCTCCACCATGAGTTCTTCTCAGACGTCATCTGAATATGTTTCTAGATCTCAGTACATTTTTAATATGAACAAAATCTTCCTGCTCTTGATTTGACCTTTGTTGGCTTGATGTGTTTTAAAGATGTTGGCAACAGTTTTATGAAGGATGCGCAGAGACATTCTTGGAAAAGCACATTGGTGAGAATAATGATGAGGAAGATGAGGGCGCCTCGTTTCTGCTCGACCAGCACGAGAGCTCCTCTGCCTGCGCTGTCTTAGGGTCGTGCGGATTTCGTCTTAGTCAGGAGCAGCACACTCAAGGCTTTTAAGGAGAGTTTAACCAGATTATTTCTAACACAAATTCTACTCTCACGTCTGTCCAAATGGACCAGGCCAAGGTACTGATTCATCCATCTGTAAAAACAGAAACTGCAGCCTCTATTTTTTATTTGGCCATACCACAAGGCAATTCAGGACCTTAGTTCCCCTACCAGGGATCAAACCCTCAGCAGTGAAAGAGCAGATTCCAAACCACTGGACCACCAGGGAAGTCGCCAAAACCCCAGGCTCTCTGAAGGTGGACTGCTCTCTGGCACCCATTTCCTGTCTCACCTGGCACAGGTGTGGTGCTGGTCACAGGAGCCCAGCTGTGTGTCTCTGGGTATGTTCTGCTTCCTGTGGACTCCAGCCCATGTATGTTGAGAGGTTGGCAGAGATGCCTTTTGCTGTTTTTCAGTCTCTCAGTTGTCTCCAACTCTTTCAGACCCCATGGACGGTAGCCCACCAGGCTTCTTTGTCCATGGGTTTTCCCAGGCAAGAATATTGGAGTGGGTTGCCATGCTCTCCTTGAGATGAGATGAAATGATAGGTTTAGTCAAAGGGTGTTGTAGAAGCAACAATGAATCACAGCCACCCTGCTCACTCCCCCTACCTCAACATTCAGAAAATCACCAGTCCCATTCAGAAATGAAATTTTCACTTTTTTTAAGAAAAAGGAGTTAGCATAAGATCCTTGCTAGATTGAGAGAGAAAAATATAAGCAAAAATCAAATTAGAACATAGACCAAATGGGAAATTACTCAAGAAGCAGGGAAAAGGTTCAGAAAAATTACAGTTCTTTGAAACAAATAGTTGTCCATAATGCCAAAGCATTTAAAGAACACACTGATATGCCTGTCTGTCTGAGAGAGAGAAATTGGACCGGAGCTTTTTTTTTTTTTTTGGACAGGAGCATTTTTATACCCAGCAAGTTGTCTTTTACATGGACAGGCTGTGGGCAGACACTGCAAACAAACAGGGATAGAGAAAACAGAGCAAAAACATGAGCAATTTTTAAAAGCAGTCAGTCGGGGCTTCCCTGGTGGCTCAGAAGTGAAGAATCCGCCTGCCAACACAGGCAGAGGAGACACGTCCAACCCCTGGTCCGGGAAGATCCCACATCCCACAGCAGCTGAGCCCGTGGGTCAGAGCTGCTCTAGAGCCCCGGAGCCTCCGCGGCTGAGCCCATGTGCCTAGGGCCCCTGGTCAGCAACGGGACGCCCACACACCGCGCCTAGAGAGCAGCCCGTGCCTGACACCACTAGGGAATGCCCTCACGGCCGTGAAGACCCAGCACGGAAAAGTGAGCACATAAAATTATTTTGTAAAATAAAGCAGAGTATAGCTCAAGATTTCAGAGCCAGTGTTGAATGACAGAGAAAACAGTCAGTATATCATAGCCTGTGGGGCCTTGCTAAGGTTGCCCCTAAGGTCTGATTTACACGTTGTGTGTTTTTCTTGGTGTTTGCCTTTCATTTAAGTCAGTTGATGTTACTATTGGACTTAAGTCCAAGAAGATAAAATGGGAAGAATCAAACATTTCATCAGTGGGGAAGATCATTTTCATCCTTTTTCTTTTCCCTTTGGATATAAATCACAAGATTATAACATACCTCAAAAAAATACTTTGCCAAAAATTTTTAAAATTACACTCAAGAACCCGTGCTGTGGGACTTTAGTAGGTAGTAAAATAAACTATTAGAGCACATTTCTTCCTTAATTTAGTCTAGTATAAGAGACTTTTGGAATTAAAGGCTAGTAATTTTAACATGCTCAATAAGTCCATTGACTTGTGTGATTGAACTCAGTCACACTTATTTTCACAGTCTGGGGCCTGTTTCCAGGTGTGTCCAATGAATTGTCTGTGGGGTACACTGAGACTCAGCTTTAATATCCAGTTAAGTCCCCACAACACATGCAACAAATTCTCAAATTCCATAGCATCTCAGATTAGGAGAAAGAAAAAGAAACAGAGCTGGAGAAAGGCAGCAGGAAGGACACACTCAGACTCAGACCCACACAAACACACCTCTTCATCCTGCTCAGACACACTCTTCCAGACTCGCCTCCACGTTCGGGACCTGTTTGTAGCTTGGCGAGCCACCATCTTCTCCTTGACGAGCCCAGCGGCCACCCGTGAGCAGAACAAGACCTGGACATATTCTGGAGGCAGAGGGAAACTCGTGAATCAGACACGCTCGTGGTGACGAGGGTGCTCTGCTCGGGTCCACGTGTTCGGGGACTTGAGACGTGCTGTGCAGGTTTCCCTTCACTGGCATCTTCATAATCCCATGATGGTACCAGACAGCCAGGCACCGAGCCAGTGTGGGGGGTGTCTCAGCCACCCGACCACAGGCTGTGGGCTGTCCTCAGCGCAGCAGGACCACCATCCACTCCCCGGACAAGGAGAGGAGCATGGCCAGCATCACGCGTGCACCATGAGAGCGGGGACACGCGTGCTCCTTGCTTGGTGCCGAAACCTGTGCTGACGGATTTTAGGGAAACAAAATGCTGTTACAGGGACCGCCTCTCCCAGACTCCCAAGGACAGACTGAGTTCCTTTTGCGTTTGTGACTGTGTTTCCCCGTATCACATGCCAGTTGTCTGGCTTCTGACCTCATGTAACAAACTTACCTTTGTAATGAATGGATATTTTTCTGTGATTTCTTAAATTCAAACCAATCATTTCTGTGGTTAAAAAAACTGCTGTTTTTTCACTCTAGATAACTTACATACGACAAGAATATGAAACAAAATTTAAAGGGTTGATGCCGGCATCTCTAAGACAAGAACTTGAAGACACCATCTCCTCCCTAAAGTCACAGGTAATTACTAGAAGTCAGGAATGTCCCGAGGGTTCAGGTGGCATGCATATTTTAATTAATAAACTTATTTCTGAACTGGTGCCAGAAATCAGTGTGGTGTCATGGAATAACCTGGTACCCAGGATGAAGTGTTTTGTGTTTTGGGGAGGTTTTAGAATTTTTCTGACCATTTTAAGAACTCTATGCTTGATAAGACTTTCTTGAAAGCATCCTTGAAATTGAAAAGTTCAGTTATGGTTACTTTTATTTACAGTCCACATTCCAATACAGACTCACCCTTTTATTCTTGGTACCAGGCCCAAAATGCCATCACTTAGCACGTTGCTAACTCCTTATGATGTGAACGTGTGGAGAAGTAAAAAACATGGCTAAGTTAGAAGTGTTTTTATTCTGATGTATTTTATATGATTATTAGAGATAAGAAGATGCATTTTAAGATCAAAGCAGGGTAATGACATGGTATTCAAACAATTTGGTTAAAGATTTCTGCTGAAACATGTAATTCTTGGTAGTTTATAAAAAATAAAATTGACTTCAGTTTTGATACTAATTCAGTTTTGATACTAAGGCTTCCTGGTCTTCCCTGATGGCTCAGCGGTAAAAAATCCACCTGCCGGTGCGGGAGACTCAGGTTCGATCGCCGAGTCGGGAAGACCCCCTGGAGGAGAAAACCGCAACCCACTCCAGCATTCTTGCCTGGAGAATCTCATGGACAGAGGAGCCTGGCGGACGGCAGGCCACGGGGTCACAAAGAGTCGAACATGACTTAATGGCTGAGTGTGAGTGTGCAAAACTTCCTACAGAAGTTTTCTCTAAAACACGTTTTATAAATTGTTGTATATATTTTATAGATACATCGTTTTTTAGATTCTAGATGGGTACTTTTTAAAAAAAATCAAATGTTTTAACTCAGTGTGAGAAAGAGTTCACATATTCCCATTTCTAAAACACTTAGAAACTTAAAACATACTTTTTTTTTCCTGGAGAAGCTCTACAAGAGAAAAGTTTCTCTGCTTTCTGTGCCAAGAACAGTGTCTGCCACAGAGAAGGCGCCCAATACATGTATTTACAAAGAAAACTGATAACCCAGTTTAATGACAGTCACGTTGTCTGTTTACATGTGTGAGGCGGATGCGTGGGGCACGTGACCACTGTGCCTTTGCTGTTCCCTCAGTAAAAGCCTCTTACCTGAAAACCAGACGCCCATTACATCCATCCTTGTGCTACGGTTAGCTCCCTTCTGGAGCTAAGGAGTCTAGCCGTGCTCACGCCTACCGACAAAAACAAGCGTGGCAAAAGAGTGTTAACCTAGAAGGCGCTGCGTGCATGCTGAGTCTCTCAGTCGTGTCTGACCTGCGACCCCACGGACTGTAGCCAGCCCTCCAGGCTCCCCTGTCCATGGGATTCTCCAGGCAAGAAGACTGGAGTGGGTTGCCCTGCCCTGCTCCAGGGGAGCTTCCCCACCCAGGGAGCGAACCTGCATCTCCTGCGCCTCCTGCATTGCAGGGGATCCTTTACTCCTGAGCCACTGGGGAAGCCCTTAGAGACGGTTACATCGTCTTTATTTACATGAAAAGCTCTCCTTCAGGTGTGGTTCTCCCCTAACTGCACAGGAGCCCTTCCTCGGGCCGGCTGTGTGGGGCCTAGCACCTTCAGAGGGGTTATTGTTTTAGAAAGACAGAAATCTGATATCCACCTGCAGGGCTTCCGTTATCATTCATATGGTTCACTGTAACAGAAGTGCTTCAGTTCCTAAACCTGGACGTTGACCCAGAAGGCGAGGGCTGTCAGCTGCATGCGGGCCCCGCGTGAGCAGCTGCGCAAGCCCCAGGCCGGGCAGAGGGAAGTTTCGGTCTGAAAGCACAGGTGCCCGTGCTTGTGAAAATTGCTGGGATTCTGGCTGCAAAGCATGCTGGGGGCAGGGAGGTGGCCGTCCCTGGACCTCATGAACTGTCCCAGGGTGCCCTGGGGGCACCAGGAAGACTCGAGACCCGGGTGAGGCGTGCGCCCCTTGAGATGAGCCCCGCACGCTGCTCCTGCTGGCAAGCTGCCTGCTTCGCCAGCTGGCCTCTCGTGCATAACTGCGGCTCGGGAGCCACCGTCGCCACGATTTCGTTCAGAAGGGGCGAGGGCACACAGCTCTGAAGTGATTGGGTGCCACCGACTCTGACTGCATTGAGAGACAGCATCGGTCATCGGAAAACCACTCCTGAGTGTTGTATAAGATACCTTTGAGTTTCCTCCTGACACACGTGTCTTCAATTGTGCGGCACGGGGCCCAGAGCCGTGCCCTGCAGGCCTGGGGGCAGCTCAGGTCCCTGCGCCCCTTGCCCCGTCTCCACTGGTGGGCTGTCAGGGCCAGGGCCACGGGCGGTACCGGCCCAGAACTCAGGGCTAGGCACCTGTCCCAGAATCAGTGGCTTCATGACATCCCATGACCTTGGCAAGTGGCTATGAACCTTGGCCCCCGGTTCACAGGTGAGTGTCAGAAGCAAAAAGAACTTTCTAGAGCCGTGGGAGCCACGCCAGGAACTGAGTCCAAGTTGGCCTGATCCAAGCACAGTGCTCAGCAGAGCACCGCCTCCGCAGCCCTAGGGGTCCCGGGGGCCTCCTTCCTGCTCACTCCGTCCTTCCGTCAGCAGCTGGGGGTGCCAGCCACGTCTCTGCCCTGGAAAGGAGACGGGGGCACACAGGTGCTCCAGTGCCCCCAACCCCGCACGGAAGGGCTCTCACACAGGCAGCTGGATAATTGCTAACAGAGCAGGAGAGCACGGCGGCGGGGCGGCTGACCCGCTCGCAGGCAGAGGAGGCGAGGTGGGCAGGACCCGAGACCCTGAGCCCGGGAGTGGGCCGTGGGCAGCAGCCCTGTGTCAGGGCCCGCGATCGGGAGGACGAGGGGCGGAAGGCAGTGACGGAGGAGGCAGAGACAAGCCGCCAGAATGGGCCGGCCCCCTCGTCTCGAGATGCGGGCTGTGAGCCGGCCACTGCAGCCTGTGGAGGTGGGTGGGGGCCGGGGAGGGGGTCAATGGGGCCTGCCTCACCCCGGGGTCGGCGACCCTCCCGTGTCGCCAAGGAAACCGCCCTCGCCTCCTCTCACCCGGGGCCTCTTTTTCAGGTTAACTTCCTGCAGAAGCGGGCGTCAGTCCTACAGGACGAGCTGACCGCCTACCAAAGCAGAAGGTACGGCCGCCCACGGGTCTCTTGACCACCTGCATGTCTCACCCGTCTAACCCGGGGGTCTCCTGCCCGAGAGCTAGAGTCTTCATTAAAAGGCACAAAATACCAGTGTCAGAAATACTAATTTTTAGTAAAGAGCCTGTATGGGAGGACCCCTCCCCCCGCCCCAGTGTCATCTTTGTGCTTCGTCAGCGCCGCCCGAACGAGGGCCAGTGGCACCTGACGGGCCTGGGCTGCCCCGGGGTCAGGACGGGGTGTGCTCTGCAAGCCTGGCTGCAGGTTGCGGAGCAGGTCTCCCTCCTGAGACGGTGGGCTGACGCGGTCCTGGTCGCCCACCGCTTCAGGGCCCACGTCCCCTGGGCTCAGCATGGATGCAGGAGCTCCCGGCCCCAGAGATAAACGCTCAGAGAGGTCACCACACTAGCCAGGACCCCGGAGTCCCCAGGGCCCCCGTCTCAGGGACGCAGGAGACCTTCTGGTCAAAGGCTCTTGAGACGTCATTGACCTGGGTCCCGTTTACCTGCCCCAGCTGCCTTCCTCCTGTTCAGTGAAAAGCTGAGCCGTTTGTCTGGCATCGAATTAAAAGTGAAAACTTGGAAGGCCCTGCCATACATGACTCAGGTGAACAGCAGGGACCTATGAACCGCACGGGGGACTCTGTGCAGTGTCTTGTAACAGCCTCTAAGGGAGAAGAATTGGAAAAAAGCACATATATAATATATACACACAAATCAGTGAGCCATACAGCTGAAACACACAGTATTGTAAATCAACTAGTCTGCAATCGTTTTTTAAAAAGTGAAAACTCTGTGACTCATTCACTTTTCAAAAGCTTCTCTTCCTTGGTATAGACAAGACTTGATCCCTTCTGGGTGTCGATGATGAAGTTTTGACATCAAGCAGCCCTTCCACCCCACATCCAGCTCCTCCTGAATTAGAGCATATGTGACTTTGGACAGGCCAGGACGCCAAGAAAGCCGTAACTCTGGGTTCTGCCTTTCAGGTGACCATGTGGAGACCCCCCGGGTCACCCTGGAGAGAGCGGTGGATCCAGCCATCCCAGCCGCGCTGCGGATTTCTTCCAGCAGGTTTGAAGATTCAGACATTGTTAAGTAAACTGTGAGACCAGTGGCATTTTTTGATGCTTAAATGTAACTAAGATCATAAAAACATCCGTCGCCCATACGCCAGTGGCTGGTTCTGTGTTTCGCCTACTTTTTAACATTCCTTTATTTCCACTTTCCACATTTGTGTGCATTTGAGTGTGTCTTGAGAATTGCTGATTTGGGGGAAGGAAAAGATTCGTCGCAATGCCTCGTGGATGCCTCTGCATAGAATTTTACCATTTGCGTTGCTCCAAATCACATTTGTAGCGTCATATCAATATTTTTAACATGTTTGCATTATCTTCATGTTCATATATTATTAAAATATCATTTTGTACTTACCAGTTTTATTTGTACATTTTTATTGCACCTCATAAAGATGACATGGTATTTTTTTCCCTGGAAAATACTGACCATCTCAAATCGTGGTATGGGGAAGAAATATCTATGTCAGGTCAAAGCTCACATCCACATGCGGCGTGTTTCTTGAGAATAAGCTCGCTGAGTCCCCACTGCGGGTCCCAGTCCCGGTCATGCTGGTCTGCAATCTCCTCTGGCCTGTGGGGGCAGAGCAGGGCACGAATTCCGTGGGGCAGCTGTGGTGTTACTGTTGCCTGCTTGATCTCTGAGTTTATGGCTGTGGCTTCATTATAACCTCAATGGATGGATGCTCCTTACGGAAGCCTCCGAATGTCGAGATGGGTTGGGAGGCTGCTCAACACCCTGGCAAGTGATGGTGGGATGAATTTGTTGGGTCCGCCGTCCTCGCGGAGAGTCTGGCACTGTAGTGCCCACCCAGAGGCCAGGAGGCAGCACTGTGCTCGCGGGCCAGCCCCACCTTGCCAAGGAGATGCTGGGCTGCAGCAGACGGTCACGTTCTCTTGGCTGCGCTGGGCTGCGTGCCTCGGGCCCTGTGAGCCGCTTGAAAAATCTGGGCCGTGGGCGGGGCTGGAGTCATCTGGTTTACTGCGAAAGGACAGGGCAGGACGTTTATTTACAGTTTTTCAAATTCTTTTCTCTTTCCCACGCCCATCTTCCTCATCTGCTGCCTGAGGATTAATTACCCGTTTTGTGCTGTGACTGAGACATGGGCATGATAAGGGAGCAGCAGATTTTACTGCCGCGTCCAAAGCCAGGCCCAGGTCAGCCTGACCGCTGCCTGCTGGCCGCAGGCGGTGAGCAGCCTTGCGCTCTTGCGCTGAACTGTCTCGGCCAGCACCTCACTGCCTGCACAGGTTCCCCGGCCCCTCCTCCAGGAACACAAGTTTTTGTGCTCTGGAAGCTCGGGTTTTCCTTGCCTGTAAAATAAATGGTAGCACCGGCCGAAAGACTGTTTGGGAAAAAGCGAAATTGTGTCGGGTGCTGTAACGACAACCTGGCCAGGGAAGGCGGTTGGTACCAGACTGTGACTCAGTGCTCGGAAGGGAGCCGCTGCGACGCCATGATTCATTTTTAGCTCTTGTGTCCGGACCGTGGACAGCAGGTCGACCAGCAGCAGGCTTCATCAGGCAGGCAGGTTATTAGCGTCTTGAAGTGAAAACGCTTTGCCAATGGTGTTATATGCTTGAGCCCAGCTCCCTCTCCGAGTGTTTGTTCTCTGTGAGTAAATATCAGTAGGTGTTTTGGAAAGTTGCCTGCTATTCTTTCTTTTCCTTATTTCAAGGGTTATGAAATTACAAACACGGGTGAACCTTTGCCATTACCCAGATCCTGTTCTGCCCTGGGAGTCAGCGGACTAAAACACTGGTGGCTGGGTTCTGAGTGACAGGGACTGGGTGGCCGACACCAGCGTTCCTGTGAACATCCTCTGCTACAGGGAGAGAGAGAGACTGCGCTTAGCACGTTGCAAATTCCTTGCTGAGGGGGGCACTCAGTATTTACGTGGCTACTGGGAGAGGAAGTGAGTGCCCAGGAGATACATTAGGGACAGTGCGTCTCATTGTAAAGCCGTCTGAGATGTCATCCTTTCTTCTATCTGGTGGAAGACCAACTGTTCATCACCAGTACCTGATTCAGCTGCATTTCCGGCAGTTATTGTCGGCTCTGCCCCTGAGCCAGGCACCTGTGCTTCTTACACGTCAACCCGCTGTCGTCAACAGGCAGGGCGGGCCACACTGAGCAAAGTCGTGGGGTCACCGTGTCGTTGGTGAGCACGTCTGTCCAACACAGGGTCGGCTGGAGAAGGGTTCACGTGAACGTTGGCCCCGGTTGTCAGCATGTGTCAGGGCTTTGTTTGACCGCCCCCACCCCCGTCTCCGCATCCCCTGCAGTGAGCGCCTTAGGTTTCTGACCCCGGGTTTGGCTGCGGCCCTGCTCAACAATCAGTTCCCCAGATGGCAAGGGGGGCGGAGGCAGACAGGCTTGCTTCTTAGTCTGCGGGAGGCTGGACTGTGGCCCGCGGGAAAGGGCCAGGGTCAAACCTCGTCCCGGAGCAGCACGTGGCAGCCTGACTTGGCGGGAATAGCACACACCCGCGAGGCCTCGTTAAAGGCCTCGGCGGAGACGGGCAGAGGGGACCTGTGAGCTGGAGCCGACAATTAGCAGTCTTCTCACTGAAGCACATTCCCATCTGTGGAAGGCAGGGCTGTCCTAGCTTTCTTTCCAAGAGTAAAAAAGAAAGGTAAAAACATCAAAAATGTGGGGGGGAAAGTTTCAGAACACAAGGTCATCCTCATCCACAGTTTCCTTAAAAGAACTATCTCCTCTCAGCTTTCATATTTTGTTCAGAAAGGTCATCTCTTTTAAGCCTTGTCATTAAAGGAGGTTTGCTCTTTAAAGTGGGCTATCAAAGGGTGTAGAAATTGCAAGTTACTGAGACTAAAATGCATGATCAATTTTGAGCCTGCTAACTACCACTCGCTTAGAATTGGCTGTGCTTCCACCCTGGCAGTTCCTTTGATAAAGCCAGGAAGAGATACATGGTTGGTCAATTCAAAGTAAGAAAAGCAGATAATTAGATGAAACTTTTGTTCAACTGCTGAAGTGCCTCTTGGATATGGAGGCTTGATTAGGAAGTAGAGGCGTGGGCTGTAATCATATCTGAGAAGTAAAAGTTGAAGATCCCAGATTTTGACCTGTGTTAACATTCTTCACTACGGTTTTAAGAACTGAATCAACCCTCAGATCATATTATTTATCTCTTCATGGAGGAAGAAAAATGCAACTTGAAACATAAGAGTGAAGGAATTTTGAAATCTGGATCCTCACCAATATCTACTGCAGTTGAAGTTCCCTTCTTCTAGACATTTCAGTTTTAAGCAAGGATTTCCACCAGGCAAATGTTTTAAAGCCAAAGGCCCAAGATGTTCCCTTAGATTCTGTTGTTTTCAGAACTGAACTTAGTCTAGACATGAGGCTAACAGATACTCTTATACCCTCTTTGGGAGTCTACCATTTAAGAGAGTCTTAGGGAGAACAGCTCACTGGAAACAAAGACTCTATCACAGAGCAAAATGAGTTACCTGGTGAGAAGCCTGGTAGATTTATTAGCTAAATGGGCCTCCATGAGTGAAACCACTCTGCCCACACTCCTTCACTCCAGCTAGAAAGAGGAGCTAGTTCCAAGGTGAGGTCTACAGATGAGCCATTTCCTTTAGGCAGCTCCCTTCACCGACTTGGGCCTCACTGCTCTCATCTAGAACATCAAGGGTGTCGACGTTGTGTATGCTCAGTCATGTCTGACTCTTTGTGACCCCGTGGACTGTAGCCTGCCAGGCTCCTCTGCCCATGGGATTCTCCAGGCAAGAACACTGGAGCGGGTCGTCACTTCCTCCTCCAGGGGATCTTCCCGACCCAGGGATGGCACCTGTGTCTCCTGCATTGGCAGGTGGGTTCTTAACCACTGAGCCACCTGGGAAGCCCCACTGTCATGGCACAACTGGACCAGTATTTCCTACT